GACCCAATTCCAACAAAATTACTGAAAGAATTGCTAGTGGTAATATGAGAACCTCTTATTAACCACATCATCTTCTCTTTAGCCCGTATTCCAAATCCTTTCAAGCTAGCTGTTATTAAGCCTATTATTAAGAAACCACGACTCAACCCCAGCAACTTAGCAAATTATAGGCCTATTTCAAATATTCCATTTATGTCTAAAATAGTAGAAAAAGTAGTTTTTGCCCAATTATGCTCCTTTCTGCAGATGAACAATGTTTTTGAAGGGTTTCAGTCAGGTTTTAGGCCTCATCCCTGCTGAAAAATCCAGCTTAATCCATCCTAGGTTGGTTAGCTGGTTTAGCTGGTCAACCAGCCTGGTTTTAGAGGGGTTTTGGCCATTTCCAGACTGGTTTCCAGCCATTTCCAGCCTGGTCTTAGCTGGTCAGGCTGGGAGATGACCCGTTAACGCAAAGGCTGGTTTAAGCTGTATTTTTTTAGTAGGGATCACAATACAGAAACCGCATTAGTGAAAATAACCAACAATTTACTCCTAGCTGCTGACCAAGGGTGCATCACGTTATTAGTATAACTGGATCTTAGTGCTACATTTGACACCATTGACCACAATATCCTCATGAACCGCTTAAATTCTACAGGTTTCCAGGGACAGGCTCTACAATTGTTTAAGTCATACTTAGCTGACCATTACCAGTTTGTGAATATTGATGGACAGCTTTCACAAGTCAGTCCGGTAAAGTATGGGGTGCCTCGTAGATCAGTTTTGGGCCCTTTGCTGTTTACAATATACATGCTACCCCTGGGAGACATTATTAGAAGACATGGGATCACCTTTCACTGTCATGCAGATGATACTCAATTATATATTTCAGCTAAACCAATGAGACGTCTGAACTGTCTAAGCAAACTGAGTGTATTAAAGATGTTAAAAACTGGATGACCAACAATTTTCTTTTCTTAAACTGACAAAACAGAATTATTACTTATTAGGCCTAAATCTTGTACACAGCAGATCTCTTAACTCGACCTGCAATTAGAGGGATACAAAGTTAGTATTAGCTCTACTATAAAAGATCTGGGTGTTATATAAGACAGCAATTTAACTTTAGAAAATCATATATCTAATGTCACAAAAACTGCTATCTTTTATCTGGTGAAATATTGTTCCGAGAAATATAAGTTATGAAGAATGCTATCCATCTCAGATACCGAAAAGCTAGTTCTACAAGCTGCTAGCCACTGTAATGCTCTTTTTGTTGGTTGCCCAGCATCATCTATTAATAAAGTCACATGTCATATCCAAATTGCTTTATCTGTCACAATTAGATTTTCCCCAAATCGCACAGCCCTAATGTGCAGTTGAAAAAATCTGCAAAAACCCATGCTATCATGGTAATATTAAACAACACTTCAGATAAATGTTTCCAGCACCCATGCCACACACAATTATAGGCATAGCTTACCAAAAATTGGAAATTCTGTCACGTTTACTTATTCTTTACTTTTTTCAAAATCGCTTTGAGTTTTTTTCTTCTGTTAAACACTGGAAACAGAAAAATCTGAAAATCTAAAACCATTTTGTTAAGTAGTATTTGTTTTCCTACTATGTAAATCAGTGGTTACAGGGTTTCAGCTTCTTTCAAAATATCTTAATTTTTGTTAAACAGAAAAAAAAGAAACTCAAACAGGTTTGAAACAAATGAAGGGTGAGTAAATATTGAGTAAATATTTATTGTTATATATTCAAATTATATCTATTGATCTCTTAAAGCGTACTGAAGGCATAATATGTATATCACAAAAAAAAAGTGGTGTTCAAACAGTAAGCACTCAAAAATTGCTTCCAGTTTTCATAAACAACAATTAATGAATTATCTCAAAACAATGATCAGTTATTAATTTACTTAATTATTGCTAAGTGGTCTTTAGTAACTTGAAAAGCAGTCATATTTTTTAACATGAAAAACAGATTAAAATAAAACCCTCTGATCACACAATCAGGTATCAGGTACACAATCATTAATTTAGAGGTAATCATTACTTCACAATCATTAATTTAGAGCTCTATACACTCTTTATGTTTTAATAAACCCAACATATTTCCTTTATATATGAAGAGACACATTTACTAACGCACACCATACATGAATACTAAAACAGTCCACCTATAACAGTCGCTAAATCTATGGCATGTTGCCTTTCTAAACTAACATTAACATATTGAATTAGAGCTTTCTTTCATTCCTCCCCATATCGCTCGCTTTTTTCACTCTTTGTTGTTTTTTTTTCTTTTTTTATTTCATCACTCATTAGTCAGTACTATTGCCTTTGTCACCATGGAAACTGGACTAGCCATGTCTTCCCCGGATCTCTAGTTCCTCTCCCTGGTGGGCGACTCTCTCTCTTTCTCTCTTGTCTGACGGACATCTCAACTGCCTTAAACACACGCTACTATATCCAAACATCTCTCATGCCATATGTTACATAACACAGACATTGCATACAACAAACATAATACAGCTGAACGGCCCAACCATGTTCAATATATATGCAACATATATTTCAAAAACAACTATTTAGATATATTTTTTTCATATATATTCAAATGCATTCACTATTTTTACAAATACACATGCATATGTGACCTTATACTAGAAACCTATGTGTTAAAACATATTCATAATTACTGTAAGAGTTGAGTCAGAATCTGACCTTATGTGCAATATTTTATGCGTATATGCATTTCTGAAGGCAATGCAGCATGATAGCTTCATTGAGAGCTTCATTAAACCAAAATGAATCAGTTGTGTGAGTGTATAGCCAAGCTGGATCAGCAGAAGTTCGAATAAAGCTGCAAAGCCACCTCTCTGCACTCACATTGCATACATAATATCGTATATCTGCGGAGTGCTGCATACATGCTTCGATTCCCACTGTCAAGCATCAGCCATGGCGCAGAGAAAATATGCACAGCTTGTGTTGGCATTCAAAATACTCTTTTTGTTTTTTTTAAGGTGTGCTTGGATGCTAGTCAAGAGTATTTTGGAATAGCAAGTGGTCTCTTGGGAAAGTATAAGTGTGCCTTTGCATGTGCAAGAATGATAAACATAGAGTGGTTCTTAAAAAGTGTTGAAAACCGAAATGAATATATTATCCACTTCCATTCAAAACAGTTCTCGAGAGTTCTGTAATAGGAAAAAAAAACATTTTTTATGTATTAATTGCCATTTTAAATGACCAACGTGTGATAAGGTTTTATTAAAAGATGAAATTCTTAACTTTCTTTGATTTCAGTGAAAGGCTAAAAAATAATTCATGGGAAGGACATTGATTTCCAGGTAAATCGAAAGAGTCATGTGATTTTTATGCTCTCAAGAGCCTTCCTTCCATCCTTTACAAGATTTACTTACAGTGTTCAACACAATGCCGAAAGACCCTGCCTGAACTGTAATGTCAATATGTCATCATGGGGCATAGCCAGGTTTATTAGTGACCCTGGACTACATTTTTTGGAAATGAACATTTATACATCATATAAAAGTTAAATGAATAAACCTTCCATTAATGTATGATTCATGAAGACAGGACAAAATTTGGCCAAGATCCAATTATTTGAAAATCTGGGATCTGAGGGTCATACTGTATATTATGCAAAATATTGAGAAAATCACCAGCTGTCCAATTAAAGTTCTTAGCAATACATATTACTAAACAGAAAATGGGTTTTAATCAATTTACTGTAAGAGGTTTACAAAATATTTACATGGAACATGATCTTAACTCATGGAATATGATCTTAATTAGTTCTAAAGATTAATAATGTTAATCAATAATTAATAATAATAACATAAAAGGAAAAATCATTAATTTTGACCAATGCAATTTATTTTTAGATACTGGCAAAAATATACCTGTGCAACGGGTGTATTTGTCGTCCACGGTCACATATAGTCTATATTCTCAAATACACTTTATAATTAAACCCTGATAACATAATTTTAATGTGTGATCAGATACTTTCTTAATGGCTGTTTTCTTTGGGACAACTTTGGGCAATGGTATTATCAATGGGCAGCTAGGTTAGACAAAGGGCTACTAATTAGAACAACCAGATCCAGATACAAATTTGTTGCCCATTCCTAATAGGAAAATATCCATGCAACATCAATCTGCAATATTGCACAGCAATGTTGCTCAAAATGTTTCCCCACATTCGCCGCTTTATCACCTTTAATTGTGCTCTCAGCAGTGTTTACACATCTGGATATTTGCCATTATTTTCTTGCTGCAAATGTTTTTCCAGTTACTTTTTGTTTCTAATCAAATAACAAAAAATAAATTTATTATATGTTTTGAGTCATGTTTAGTCACTCAGAAGTGAGAGCACAACCAATAAGTTGATTCTTTATCATTCGTTAAACTGCAACCAGTGACACTAATGAAAATGGTTTCTAATTCAAATAATAAAAGTGAACTTTGTTGTGTGCATTAACTCATGTTTAATCCTTTGTATTTTACACCTACACAAGTGTAAGAAAAAAAACAAAAAACTCTTTTTTTGTACAAAGAGTTGCTAGTTGCAATTCCCTAAAAGGCCACTGGTGTCATTAATAACACTAGTTTCAGAATTATAGCTCTAAAAAAATATCAATTCAATTTTTGAATGAGTCTTTTAAAAACACGGTGTTGCAAAACAGCAGTGATGTAATCCACTAGTCAGAGTCCAGCTTTACGCTCTCAGAAGTGCACAAACACATACATTAACTTTCATGAACATCACTCAGTAAACATGCACATTCAGTGTGGCACAAAAACGCTAAACAGATGTTTCACATCTGCGAAACACTTTAGGGAAACAGCTAAACGGCTGATTGGAAATCCCAGGAGCCAGTTCTGCAAAACTTGCATTCTGATCGATGCTTCCATTAAAGCCAATCAATGGTGTGACTGATGCATTTAAGAATGTACAGAGAGTGTGTGTGCCTGGTTGAGAATACTCACAGTGATTTTGGTCTCCTTGATCTCCTTATTTTGCCTCCTGGCCGGGGACGTGGACCCTGGACTCTGGGGGGACAGATAGGAGGGATCATCAAAACTGCCCTCTGCATCAAAGCTTTCCTCCATCTCCATTGCTTCGTGCCTCCTGTCTTTCTTTGACGATCTCACTCTTTCTGCAGGCAGTGCTTGACTCTGACTGCTGCTTTGTTGCTGTGGCGAGTGATGCAGAGTGGAGCGTGTGTGTAGAGGGGAGCGCAAGTGGGGGTGGCGGGTGCTCAGGGGGAGGGGGTCGTGGAAGCATGACAGAGTCAGAAAGAAAGAGAGAGCAGGTAATATACACAAGACCTCAACAACAGTTAGGAGGACACATGGTCAGTAATAATAATAATAATAATAATAATAATAATAATAATAGTTTACTTTATAAATAATGTTAATCAAGCAAAAATATTTAATAAAAAACCATACTGATATTGTATTTTGATTCATGCTAATAAAATAAAAAGGGTGATTTTATTGCATTATAATTTTAGAAGTAGTAAATAGAAGTAAACAAACATAACATTAATAAATAATCTTAAAAATATGTTTTGTGATGCTTATAAAAATAAAACTAACAGGAATTTAATTAAATTTTTTGAAGATTTGTTTGAAATTAATAGATTGCAAAGAAAAGGAATGGGCGCTTAGTGGTTGTTATGCAGTTGCTAGGGAGTTCTGGATAGTTGCTATGCAGTTGCTTACTGGTACAAGTCAACAGATCCCACCCCCAAGTCGCAGCAATATCTAGCAATATCTCAGCAATATCTCAATATCTATATTCCTTAGATTAAAAATCAGGTTTCTCCTTGAATTGAAATGCATTATATTGCAGCCATTGGACTGTGCACCAGGTTGCTTAAGAAACAAAAAAGCCTGAAAAAATCAGAATGATTTGAAGTATGAGCCAAATGTAGTTCTGATCTCTAAAGCAATAATAATAGTCATACGTGCCTTAGCAAACACTGCTACTTATAAAAAATATTATTATTATTTTAAATGCAGAGGAAAGGGGTATTAGGATAACGAGAGATAAATGATTTCCTCAAGCAGCACCACACTCCCTTCTTCTCGACGGCATTTTTGTGTTTGAGCAGAGAGAAGGAGGAGAGAGAGGGAGGAGGGTGAAATGGGGCTAATTATCATTGGAGGTAAAGCTGCAAACAACAGCACGGCGTGAAAAGAGACAAATCACATGACCTGTGAAAAACAAAGCCATTTCTCGCCGTCTCTGAGTGTGTTTGTGTGTGTGTGTGTGTGTGTGTGTGCGCGTGTGTACATGCAAGCTGATGTGAGCTTATGCTTCAGACTGGCTGATGCTTCAAGGCATCCGAATTCATTTTGAATCAGTGTTCGAGAGATATACTGTATGTATGTTCAAGGATAGTGTGTGTAAAAGCTGCAGACTCTCCATCACGACCCTTGTGAGACCAGGTGTTTGAGGCTGTGTGCTTATTGTGTGTAAAAGCAAACACCTCCCAGCATGCATCAAACTACACTGCCTCAATACTGTGCTTAACTGTAGGCTACTAGCATAAAACATGCGTTTGCATTAAGTGCTAAACATCTATGTACACAATCAGATAAAAAAGATGGCTGGTAGAAGAAAAACAGAATCCACGGCACTCATTACAGCAAGAAGCTAATGAACATACACAACTTAACAATTCTGTCTTACCGTCTGGCAGAACATGTCAGTGCAGGCCTGCAACCTATGGTCTCATTCATTGCCCAACTCGCCAGGTCGGTAACGGTTCTACACCCAGGACTCTTCCAGCATCCCTCGTCTTCTTCATCTAACCCTTCCCAGCTCTGCTTAAACTCAACACCTTCCCAATCCTGGCTTGAGATCAAACTCCAACCACTTGCGAGGATCCAGAACTGAGTCGCCCATATGGCCTACTCCTTGCCGCTCCCATTTGCTGATTACATGAGCTGCCCTTGTTTGGCTGATAGTGGATCACATGGCATACGGAGGGTTTTACTTGGCCCTGCTTTACCATCTACTTTAACTGTTACTGTTCCCAGATTGGCACAGATGGCCCCAGATCTAACTAAACTAAACCATGCAGGGCAGCGGCCCTCCAGGAACACCCCTGATTTACAGCAACATGAACTGAAAAGATTCTTCATTCACTTTGAAGATTTCACTCACGGATGTTCAAATATTGGTGTGGGATAGTGCTTAAAACTCAAGTTTTTAATTCCTTAAGGATCCCATAAGACACAAGAAAACAACCAAGGGAATCCTCTGGGGATGTTAAGTTTAATAGAAATCTACAGTTCCTTTTACACTTTTGCATTTCATTTTTTTAAAATGGTGTATTATAATGAAAATGCTATTCATCCAGGGTTGCTATTTCAAAAACCATCATTAGCAAACTAAGGTTGTTAGTTTTGTCGTTACACACATAGTTCATTCATTTTGTGTTTCTCAAATTAGTCATTCCAACGAACATTTCCAAACTTTGTTGCAAACCTGTGCGGTAACAACTACACCTCTAGAGCTGTGGTTAGAAGCATAGTTAGAAACGTCTTTCTCACATGTAATTAGCTTTCAAAGTATCTATTGCAGTTCAATTTCGGCGATCATCATTTTGAAAATTGTGCCTCATTCAGGGTGGACTTAAATTTTTTACCATTTTGAACACTCATGACAAAAGCTATAGGTGACTTATGATGTAAAAGCAAAATCTATGTTATGTCTCCAAAGCATGAAAACAAATGAGTAAGTTGAAACAGTTGTTCATTTAACTTTAATTGGAAAATTTTCACTGTCTCAAATAGTCTGTTGCGTTTGTCACCTCAAACATATACTGAAACAGCATAAGGGGCACTCCTTGTCTCTCAGTTTTGATAAAAGATAGAAAACTGTGCTTCAAAACAGTTCAAACCATTAATGTATAAATAATAACCAAAAATTTAGGAGTTAATTTTCTATTTAAAAAAATGCAATTATGGGAAGGGTGGCCTACAATGAGACCATAATTATGGCCCTGGTCACCCCTTAGCCCATCCCCCTTTGTTTGTTGTTTTTTAAGCTTTCTATATGAACGGCAAGAATGGTGAACACGGATGAAAACAGACCAGGGGTTATTCCAGAAAGCTGGGTTAACTTATAATCTGCTAAACCCTGAACCCCAAGTTTAATAACCCAAAACCTGCTTACTGTATGTCAGTTCCAACATACCTGAAAAAAAGTTGATCAACCGCCTGAAGATAACTGTGGGTTAATGCATAATGTACACCTGAAGGCTTTTTTAGTGGATTTCCAAATTCACGATTCAAAATAGAAAGTCATGGTGAGAAAAAAGTGCAACGTACTTTACAGAGGCAGAGCTGGAGATTTTAATCCTGGCTTATGAGGAATTAAAGCCAATTATATTTTTAAAAATCAATACAACTGCATTATCGAAGGAAAGAAATAAAGAGAAAATGCCTTAGTTTACAAAAACATTCTCCTAAAATGTATTATTTGAATACTGGAGCTACGTATTAAAAATTCTAGAATATTCTTTCTGTCATGTAGCTAATAGAAAGGAGGCTGAGACATGCTGACTGATGTGGGCCAACAAAATACTGCTCTATCCCTTAATAAATGCTAATCAGTGGTTGAATTATTGTACCTTAAACCACACAATCTGTCACAGTTGTTGGTGGTGGTTGTCACATACCTTTAGTTGCCTTTTATGCTTTTTGATTTGCATGCAGATGAAGAAAAACACGTTGACACATCTTTTTGATGGTCTATTTGAATATTAGTGGAATGTCTGCTTAATATGTTAATACTGCTCCTTCAACAGACAATTAACTGACTATAAAAAGCTTTGCAAGAACATGTCAACTTACACTAGCCCTAACCCCAACAACAGTCTACTTATAATCTAATGAGAATTAGTAGGGCATGTACATGCAATGTAACTTAAATTCAACAAATGGACCATCAAAATATAGTGTGACCAAAAACGCTAGCTATTAAAAAAGAAAAACTTGAAATAGAAATAACGGAGCATCCCCTTAATGTGAGAAACATATAAGAAGAAAATATGTTACATGTTAAAAGGTTGTGTATAAAGCAATGTAAAAAAAATAAAATTAGTTTATATCAGGAAATAAAGAAATGAACAGTGCTTCAGTCCAAACTATTTAATTAAACATGTTGTTTTTTTTTTTTGTCTCTTAGCCATCTTTTTGGTCTGCTTGGGTCATTGAGGGTTATTCTGGGTCAGGCTGAATCATGTCTGTAGTACAGGTTCAGGGTGTCATCATATAGGGCAGAAAAGCATATCCTTTGTACCCCAGCAAGTAACCAAAGTAGTGGCCAATAATAATTGAAGTGTATAATACAAATATACTAAAAAGAACTAAAAAAAAAAAAAAAACTTTGTGTGTATCCTGAATGTATCCTGTTGGAATGTGTGGCATAATGATGACTCCTTGAAAACTCTGGCATCATGTAAAGACCCGGCCATTTAGTCTCAAAATGGTGATGAAATGGGGTCATCACATATTAGCTAATTAGCAGTAACAAGTTTAATAGTTCCATAGTTACATGTAGGGTTTCATTCTATTGGCCCAACAACGGAATCCAAAGTAACGTCAATAGTGATGGGTTGTCCTTAAATGATTAGTTCATTTTTAACTAATCTTTTGTATGACTCGATAATGATCAGTCCTTTCAGGGAGTGATTCGTTTATTTGCGCATGTGCACATTTGTAGAAGCAGAGGAGAAGATTTGTTTCTTTTTTGAGTCTTCTATCAGGTTTGAGTCTTCTCTCTTAACATGCTGTCATTTGATGAACGAACGAGTCAAAAACTAGGAGACTCGAAAGGTGAACTAATCATGGCTCCTTCAGGCTTATTTGGGACTGTCTGTGTGATGTAAATGAACTGTGAAACGAGGTTAGCTAACATAATCATAGACAAAATTATTTTTCCTTTAGCTTAGTCCTTTATTAATCAGGGGTCACCCCAGAGGAATAAACCTGCAACTATTCCAGCATATGTTTTACACAGCGGATGCCCTTCCAGCCACAACTCAGTACTGGGAAACACCCATACACTTGCATTCACATGCACTCATACAATAAGGCCAATTTAGTTTATTCAATTCACCTATACCGCAATGGAAAACTCACACGAACAGGGGGAGAACATGCAAACTCCACACAGAAATGCCAACTGGCCAAGCCAGGACTTAAGATCTAGGATGAGCTCTATGCTCATGACACGCCCTCTGGCTTGGACAAGCTCATCGAATTTGTCATAAGGATGGTGTGGTCACTTTGTCACCCCTGGAGAGATAGCACCATATCAGTTTGAGTTTGTGTTTGTATTGCAGAAGAGCTGGCCACCATTTCTCTGTCTGTCTAGTAAAAGCCAGCGCTTGCCAATGACTCTGGACCTTTTGGTAAGAACTTCCCCTCTGTCTCCAGGCACCCAAACAAAAACCCTGCTGCCCATCACACTTCGTTGGGGAGGTTCCACGGTCTCTTGCTCTGCGCTGTTGGTTTCAGGTGTGGAGTAGAGTTACATCAAAGAGACATTCGCCACTGAGCACAACATTCCGCTCCACACCCTGCAGGACATGACTACTGTGTACACACTAAATTAAAGTAAATATTGGTTTTAAAATTCTCTATTATTATCTGTAAAGGGTATGCCAGTTAAAGAATATGTCAACTATTTAGATGTTGTCATTTAAAAAATAGGTCACAGTTTACAATAAGGTTCATTAGTTAATGTTACTTAATGCATTTACTAACATGAACAAACAATGAACAATACGTTTACTACGGTATTTGTTCATGTTAGTTACCATTAGTTAATGAAAATACAGTAGTTGTTATTTCATGTTAACTCACAGTGCATTAACTAATGTTAACAAGCATGAGTTTGGATTTTAATAATGCATTAGTAAATGTTCAATTATGATTAATAAATGCTGTACATGTGTTGTTCATGATTAGTTCATGTTAGTAAATGCATTAACTAATGAACCTTATTGTAAAGTGTTACCAAAAAATACAAGATAGAGTTTACTTAAACTTTAACCCTGTTTGTGAAAAGATAAAAAGTAATTTAAATTTTGGTTGTTAATGGTTTGTTCCTTAAGGGCCAGAGTTCTTCTTTCAAAAGCAGAAGGAATTTCTAGATCAGTGATAGGGAACCTATGGCTCATGAGCCACATGTGGCTCTTTGACCTAAAAAGGCTCTTCAGCAAACTCCCTTAAATAATATTTTATGGTTTAAAAAATTATAACCGTCACTAGAATGAAAATACAATTCCCTTTTTAATGTATTTTTCTATTTGTACAGTGAAATGATTAAGAACTCAGTTAACAATAAAAGGATGTTGACCAATGCACGTGTGTGGCGTTGTGGATAAACTTGATTTGCAGCACAAATAAAGGGCAAACAACTTACATTTCTACACATTTACATTTTACATTTCCTCATACACATAAATTCAAAAAATAAAAAAATCTTCAGTTTTACAAAAAAAAAAGCTGAAAATATGCCGAAACAATCTGAATTTTATTCATTTGAACTATTAGCCATTGTAATTTTAGAAATCTGAATATTATATGCCTTTAAAAATTACTCTGCTTGATTCGTGGTTATGGATAAATTACAGGAATTATGGGGTTGGTGTAATGCTGGGGAGTGACACTGACAACAGAAGGTAGGATCCAAATGCAGGTTTATTCAAAGTCAGGCAATCGATGGTCAATTCAGGTGCAAACAGATATATGAAGACAATCCAGAATCGTAATCAAACACAGGCGAGGGGTCAGAAGGCAGGCGGCTAAACAGGAGAACTGGATAAACAAAGCTAAGATCAAAACACAGGAAAACAAGACCAGGATAACGCGTTGTAATGTCACCTTACAGATAAACAAGACTC